CTTAACCGGAAATTGATTCTCGATATCGGGTATATACGGAAACATTATCGAGTCGTTGCGCATGCTGTGTTGTAGACCCAAAGCGTGGCCAATCTCGTGCGTCAGCGTTTGCAACAAATGATGCGTGTTGGGAGGATTTTTATTTAGATACACGTGCCACGGTTCCGAATCGTCAACGTGTAGCTCCGACGCGAAATCGGTCGCTCCCGAGGGAAAGAATGCGTGAGCTAGGGCTCCCCCGGGACCGTCGAAGGTCGCCGGGCAAATGCCTATATTCCTGCGATTCGCGTAAGTGTGCGCGCCCGTTCGGTACGATATCAATATATCGGGTCGCAGCGGGTCGCGCGCGAAGGTTAGCGACGAATTCACCGCCCATAACGCGAACGCCGCTTCGGCCGTTCGCGAGAGTTCCTCGCTAGCTACTTGAAAATTCCACGTGTGGCGCGTTTTCGGCCATTTTCGCGCGATCGGGATATACGCGCGATCGGGAATATCCGCGAGACCGCATCGCGATTTGCGCATAAGGCTAAGCGTAACTGCGTCTAACTCGCCGTTTCCTGATAATTGATAGTATTCCTGAAACAGCGACAAAGCGCGACGCAGAGATGTCGCGTTATCGGATGATAACGATTCTCCGTTGTCCTTTAGAAAACCGTACGCGCGCAAGAAGCGAAACGCCTCGACCTTTTCCGAATCAACGGGCGCGGCGGCCGTCGCGGCGACGAGCGTTGTCGCTAAGACGAGAAGAACCGTCTTCGCGTTAGTCATCGCACGGAGCGGGGAAAGACGCGGGAAGCTATCGAGAGACGCCGGGCGTGATTGATTCGCGCGTTCGGCGAAATGCCTATTTTTATCGTTGACGAATTCGGCGCGGGTGGGGGAAAAGGAAATGCGATTCGTTCGAAAAAGAGTCGCAGTTCGCCCTGATTAGAAATTCACGTGTCCGTCATTCCACTTTAATTGATGATGATTAGATGTCAACCAACACGCTCGCGATTTTTCCGCTCTCGTTAGAAGATCCCAAGACATTGGTGGGCGAATGATATGATGCGTCAATTCCACGCCATTTCTTAACACGGCTACTTCTTTCGCGACGAATCTCTCGTTAACTACGAAACCTTAAAGAT